ATTTTTTGTACTCTTGTTATATTCAAGTCCATTGGTGTATGAACACTTTGAATGGATCTTATGCTCATGTACCATTTTTATAACATTGGAAATTAGAAATTAGGAAAATAATGGTTCACTGAGTTATGTATGTCTTAGAAATATTAATACATTTTACTAGATAATATAAAAAAAATCAAACTTGTTAATATCACCAGTGATCTTAGCAGTGGATATGTTTTCCAGAATTTTAATTTTCTCATGAAAGCTCAAATTTCGTCATTGATAATAAAGAATGTGATTTGTTTGCCTTGAACTAATAAGCTCTTTGCATTTTTGAGATAATGTATGCCAAATATCTAAGCCTGAATAACCACAGTTTGGCAGTAATTTCATCTCGTAAAAATGATGTTCCAGGAAAAAAGTGGACTTTATGGATTGTTTGTGTCCCCCCCCCAAAATTTATGTGTTGAAACCCAATGCCCAATGTGATGATATTAGGAAGCAGGGGATTTGGACATGATTAGGTCATGAGGGTGGAGCCCTCTTGAATGAGATTAGTGCCCTCAGATTAGGTCATGAGGATGGAGCCCTCTTGAATGAGATTAGTGCCCTCAGAAAGAGACCACAGAAAGCTCCCTTACCCCTTCTACCATGTGAGACTATAGGGAGAAGATAGCCACCTACAAACCAGTAAGCAGGCCCTCCTCAGACACGGAATGTTCCAGTGCCTTGATCTTGGACTTCCCAACCTCCAGGAATGTGAGAAATTAATGTTTTTTGGTTAAGCTACCCAGTCCAGGTTCATTTGTTATAGTAGCCCAAACCAAGACAAGTGGCTTCCTTGACATACAACACAAACAATTGCTTTTCCTCTAAACGACCATCATACTCAGTGTGGGGAGAGCTCTTCATGTACTCTTCCCATTTTGTCACATAGTATTTAAATAATTCTAAGTAACATCTATTCTAGTTTTGAGGTTTAATTCAATAAAATTAACAATTCTTACTGCTTCAGTAATGACTTTCTTAAATAAAACAATTTTTTTTTCTGTGTGTTTGGTGCCACTTCCTTGATTTCAATTAAGGCCCCAGCAGCGACCTTTACCCACCTGTACTTTTGTACCAACACTGCGAATAGAAACACAGTGAAAGAGCAAATAATGTCTTAGTATGATTAAGAAAATTTTTTGGAACTCACAGATGCCCTAAGAAGATCTTAGTGACTCCCTGGGGTCTGCAGACCATACTTTCAGAAACTATCACCTATAAGATGATCTTAGTATATAAGGTCTGACAACTAAGTTTGTGAACATATCCCAGAAAAAGTGATACAGACTTCATTGCTGGATGTCACTAAGGTTACCTTCAAAGTATTCCCCTTGGAGGGCGGCGCCTGTGGCCCCATATACCAGAGGTGGTGGGTTCAAACCCGACCCCAGCCAAAAACTGCAAAAAAAAAAAGTACTCCCCGTGGGAAGCTATGCACCAATGCCAGTGCCTAGTGCATCCTTCAGAGCACTTTTTCTAAGATGAGTTCCCACACTTAATTGTTGGATGTACAACAGCCCTGATGGCCATTTCAGGAGAAGTCCAAAACTGCTTTGACTAGGTACTGGTGTTGGTGCATAGCTTACAAAGGAGAGTACCTCAAAGGTGACCATAGGGCTACTAAGCAATGAGGGACTTAGCACTTTTTCTAGGATGAGTTTGCAAACGTAATTGTCCAACCTCGTACAGCAGTCCTACCATCTCACCAAAGAAAACTTCAGGCCCTTCAGGCCCTTTCTCTCTACCTCACTCTGGGAGATGGATTATTCCTACAAATGAGCCATCCAACAGGCTGCCCTATCAGTTGCTTCTTCTCACTAATATTCTCTTCAATAATCCTCTTGTAGTTTATCTACTCAAGGATTCCCACTGCACCTGTTCTTGGAATCCATTGGGACCTCTGTTATTTTGACATCTAAGCTTCCTTCCTATTAGTAAGAACCTATCCCATCTTTATTTTCCTCTATAAGCAGCTACAGAGGAAAAGCTATATCTATTATTTTTAAATCTCACCTGTATCCTAAACTCCTAGACCCCACTGTTGCCTGGATTCCCCTACCTGTGAACCTCAGCTATCTCTCTTTCCACCTTCGTTTACTCTTAGGCATCTTTCAGTCTACATCGATCAGTAGTAGACATCAATCAATCCCTTGGGGAAATATTTCCTGATGCCCAGAATGGCTAGATGCCTCCTGTCATATGATTTGGTCAGTCTCTGCACATCTTCTCAACCCTTAATGATCACACTTACAATATTCGTATACTTTCTTTCTTCTCCACCCCATGTTTAAGTTATATGAGCAAAGGTACTGTGTGTGTTTTCTACTAAACTGCCAGCACCTATCACAGGCCGGGCCTGTGCTCAGTAGATATTTATGAAAGAGAAAAAGAAAAAGAAGGAAGGGAGGAAAGGAAAGAACAAAACCAGTTTCTGGTGAATAGGCAGTGACGCTTTGGAGAGAAGTTTGAACCAGTTAGACTCTTAATAAATAATCTCAGTATCTAAAAGCATGCAACTTGGAAATACATGCATCTATGAAGAATCAAAAAGTGAAACTTAAAGGCATGGCTAAAATGGTAATATATAATAAAAATACATTTAAAAATTAAAAATTCTTAAAATAGAAAAAAATAATAAAAATAAATAAAAATTCAAATGGCTCCAGGATTGGGCCACATGTCATTTTCTTCAATAAACTGGCCCAAAAGTAAAAGTCTAAAGTGTGGGAACATGGAGAAAGCGGAAGGGGAAAGAGAAGGGACGGGGTGAAGGTTTGGGAAAAGGAAAGGACTTTATAGTAGTTTTCCATCTCACCATAGAATTGTCAAGACAAGGTCATTGCAAGCCCACAGAGACTGCATTATGATGTCAGGTGGAGGGAAGCAGTATTAATGGATGGAAGCAACAGCCTAGACAGAGGAGGGCTGTGCTGCTGTAGTTTTAAAAGCTTTGCAGCCTGCTGTCTAGACAGAGCACAGTCAGGAACGCTATCACTGAGGCCAGAGCGCAGAAGCACACCAGGACCATTCATTAAGTCACCCCGGGGCTTCAGCCTTTTAGCCAATATCAACATGACCCATATTTTCTCTTAGCATTCCAATGAATTTTTTAACATAGATCATTTTGCAATGATTATGAAAGTGATGTATTCTTATTAAAGAGAACATGAGAAAGATTATAAAATTTTAAAAATGCCCTAAATCCTAATAACATTAATATTTTGTTATGTTTCTGGCCACTCTTTGTTTTCATAACATAGTTGAAGTCATACCGACTATTGTATTTTATAGCCTGATTTTCCACTTAATAGTAGAGCTGAAATGTAACCTATTTTTTTTT